CTACAAATAATAATGAGCAAAAATTAGATTAAATAGATTCAAGTTAATAAAAATCTGAATTATTGATCCAATGAAGCTCAATTAATAAAAATTCACTAATAACATACAGCTTAAACCCAAAATACTAATTAAAATAAGTACGTAAAGAAAAGTAAGAAAATATGGGAATATAATGATTCATCAAATCTTTTTATGAGGAAATAATAGATGATATTAATATAAAATATAAAATTTACAACAAATTATTGTTTTTTCAATATTATTATTATTATTATTATTATTATTATTATTATCTTCCTATATTAAAATAAATCTAAATCCATAAACTAAATAAACATATTTCATATATCTTCCAATTTTTTTTTTGCTAATATTAGTGTAGATAGAATTTTTTAATATATTATTTTTTATTTTTTTATGTCAAGTTAATGCTGAATATGTCAGGATAATCAACATCAATTTATGCTAACGAACATAAAAAAATAAAATATAAATAAGTTTTAGAAAAACAAACTAAATTTTATATCCATATTAAATAAGATTAAATTAATTTTAATGTTAAGATCCATTATTATATTTAAAATATTATTTATTTTAAAATTCTAATTTATCATATTTTCTCTTTTATCATATTTTCTCTTTAAAAACTCTTTAACTTTAACTTAAAACAGAAAATAAATATGTACTTTAAATCTATGATATCAGTTTTGAAGGAAAACTTGATTATAGGAGTGTATTATCTTTGTTGGCATAAAGCACATTTGCAAGATAATGTTGAAAAGAGGAACAATTGGAAGGTTTATGTTCCTTGTCCATATTGGAGTTCGATAATTGGAAAGGAAGGAAGCTAACATGGCAGCAAAGATAATATTGGGAAACCCATGATTCCCAAGGCATCAAAATTCAAGGGGCGCACGCAGTTGTTTCACTTGCTGATTTCATGTGTTCCAATGGTTTGTTTTTCTATTTATGCATGGCCTATAATATAACTCATTCTTATTCCACCAACTTAGTAATCAAACTTGTATCATATGTAGATTCATTAATCACACGATTATGTCATGTTATGATTAATAATAAAAGTCACAAACTGCGTTCAGAACTCATGCGTAGTGCAGTGGACTTTCAAGCCCTAGCTTATATACCTAAAGTCCTAACAAAGTATTTTAATATATCACCCACACTTTCCTTTTTTTAAGTGATAGGTTTGGGATTTTAATTTTTTATGTTATGTAAACTATTCAAATTTTGTATCAATAGAAGGGGCTATTCAATTATCTACATTTGGATATTTACCTACAAACGTCACTTAAAAAAAAAATCTATTATCTATAACAAAAATTCATAGGTAATACACTCGTGTGAATAAAATATTTGTATTATTACTTAGAATCCTCTCTAAACCCCTTTATATTATATTTTTATTATTTATTACATTTTTTAAAAGTTTGCATTATTATACAGATTAATAGAATTATCAATTACAGGAATCAAACTCAGACCTTAAAGTTGAAAGTTGATATTTCAACCACTAAGTCTATTAGAATATTTTAATAATAACTTACAAATAAATTATATTTATATTTATCCGTGTAAATATATAAATATAAAATATATTTATATTTTGATATATTTATATTTATATTTTTATTTATATATTTATTTATTTTTATATTTCGTAGGTAATTCAGTAGATAATAGAGGATCGACATTATCTACTGGATAGTAATTCCGTAGGTAATAGATAATATTTACTGAATGACATTACCTACTGGACAAGTAATTATGTAAGTAATAAATAATTACTCACCGATGACATTACTTACGGTAATTCCATATATAATGGATAATTTATATACGGATAAAATTTCGTAAATAATATCCGTATGTAATGTACATTTTACCTACGGATTTTTATATGTAGGTAATGTTTTGTAGATAATACTTTTTTTAGTGGGTCTCCAATCCTGTCAATTTAAAATATTCTCTTTCAATTTTCTAATATTATCGTTATGTAAAATGTTTATAAATAATTCATAAAACATCTCATATCAATTTAAGTAATTCATATTTAAATTTACTTTAATAATAAAAACTTTTCAAATATTATTTTTTTTGTATTTAATTCTTTTTAAATTATTTAATTTGATACATGCATTAGATGTACACTTTTTTGTTCAGTTAATGTAATTGTTTTATAATTAAACTGTTTTATATACTGTTTATAATGCTTTATAATTAAGATTAGATGTAAAATATTATAGCAGATAATAAAAACTCTACATTTAATCCAAACTTCTAAAATGAATACCAAGCTTAAAATAAATCTAGTTTTTTTTTTAATATTTTTAGTGGATTTTATAGGCTAAACCTCCATTAGTCTTAAAAATTTTGTGAAAATTCAAACTTAAAGTTTAATTAAAACCCATCAACCTAACCTATTTTGATACTTTTAATTAAGATATAATGTAACATTACCAATAGATTGTTAATATATGTGTCTCATTTCTTTTAAATAAGGCTTTTATTCTAGAGAGCACAAAATCGTTTTTAAGAGGCCCTAAACAAGAAAAAAAAAAGTTTAAAAACCATATATTTTATTTGACTATATGAATTTCTAGATAGATATAGAGATAAGCATTGAAGTAGATGTAGGAGTCAATAGGTTATATCAACGATGATGTAGCACACTACCCTTCTCAAATTCAACACATTATCATCAAAGAATGACGAAAACATGTACGGATTTTTAAAATTTTAGTTCAAAAATTCGTCCTGTTCACAGAAAATTTGTTATTAGTTGGATGAAAAAGAAAGGATCAAAATCCAAATTTCCTAACATTATTATTTATCTTTATAGTGACCAAAATCATGGATTATTTTATATGGGTACCACACAACACGTACAGTGTCTCAAGGTCATGGATAAGCATGACTCGTTGGACAGGATAAGAGAATATATATATATACCTTTGGTCTAGAGTCGTAACTGAAAAAACAAAGTACACCGTTGTTGGTTTCAATATTGTTTATAGGCTATTGAAATTAAGCACCAAAACTTGGGCATATAATATGGACGTGGTGCTTCCAGGGACATGTTTTTTCTCCTTTTTCCTGTGGTCCATGTCCATGACTGAGCTTTCAGTTTGAACCATGTCTTTATTATAAACAAATACTTACCTCCTTTAATTTCATCTTATTATATTTAGTTGATAATAAAATTTCTAATAGAAACTCAATTAATAATATCTACAATAATCTAACAATTATTTAAATTATATCACACCATTGGATGTTTTCGACTGAGGACAATTTTTAATCTAACATAATTAACAATCCAAACTTCTAATACGTTTCTCGATTTGTCACTATTAGAAAAAATAACTTAACTCAAAATAACAATCCAAAATAAGCTAAACTTTTTACTTTAATATCATATTAAATTTTAAGTCTGATATTTTAAGAAGGTGCAAGTGAATATTTAAAAATAATCCGATAACCTAAACATGTTGAGGATGAATCCGTGTTGAAAAGTTGCTTTTCCCGTTTCCCTAAACCTAAATAAACTATTGGAGGCGTGGAGGAATGATATATTGAATCTGATCCTCCTTTCATTGCTTTTCCATTTCCTTTGCCAAAGCATGCAAAAGATTGCCAAACCCATCTCTGATATTAATTATAATTATCACCGTTGGAATTGCAGCATAAACCCACAACAGAGATTTGATTAATGTTGAATTCTCATACTCTAACACACTTCAGCCATGTGTGTAGTTACTTGTTGAGGCAGAGAAACCAAAGTATAGCTTTTCTTAAAGATAGGAAGATTGATTAAGAGGAAGCAACTTTGCATAAATTCTTCTGAACTTCCATTCATGGAGCTAAAAACATGTCATTAAAGTTTAGAGTTCTCCTTGTTAATTATCCCAACATTTTTATATCATAAAACTATAAATAAATATAGGTTTGATCTAGGTTAATAACTAGCAAGGATAATAGGACAAGTTAGATGAGACTTTGCTACATCTAGTTTTAATATTCGTTAAAAAAAATTAAATCTAAATTTGACTTTTTTACTCAAAGTTTTAACATTTGGTTGTGTTTCGTTCATTTACAATAGAATTGATTTAAGAATTGGTGATCTAGTTAAAAATTAATAAAAATAAACTAATAACATATATAACGTTCATTCACAGCATGTAAATAAAAAAAGCTTAATACAAAGTCATTTTTATTTTTTTAAATAAAAAATAATTAACATATTTACCATTTCATCTTTTATCCTATATTTAAATTTGCTATGGTTAATAAATATTATTATATATTATTGAAACTTAGGTCTAAGTATTATATAATACATTTTTCCTTGTATTTTGAATATTAAAATATATGTATTAATTTTAATTTTTGCGCTATTAAATTATGATATTATGGATTGATGTTATTATTATCGTTATTAATTCAACAACTGTAGAACCTTGAATTGGCGCTTAATTATTAGTTATTATCCAGATTTTAGAACATTAGTTTAAATTTTTAAAAATATTTTTATTATACACAATTTAAGACATTATTATTATTATTCTTAAATTTTTTTTAAAAAATACCAAATCAAAACTGGGCCAAAATTATGTATTTTTCTTTGATGATCATTGGTTTGTTCAGTTCACCATTCATTTACTACCGCATTATACGGGCCTCAAATGGAATAGGCCTCATTGTTTATGGGTTCATTGCTCAGGCAAGCCCATCGTGATACTCATAGGAACAAATTATTAGCCCAAGCCCAAACAAAAACAGAGTCAATTAGCAATGAAGTAACATTTATGTAATAAATTCCAAAAGGCGAAAAAGAGTGAAAGAGGTTAGATCGAATTGAAGGCGAAAGGTCCAATGTAGGTGAGAGTCACTGGCAACGATGGTTGTTGGAAAACCCCAACAACGTTAGTGGTAGAAGAATCAGATGGAATGAGTGAGTGAAAAAGAACAGAACACAGAGAATGATGGGAGTGACGAGAAGGTCGATCTTAGCCACTCTCGCTTTTCTAATGTTAATGGGCATTGCCGTCTATTTTAGACTCTGGGCCATTCACTACAACCTTTCTTCTGATGACACTCAAATCATAAGGTTACTCTTTCTTCAAATTCTTTCCATTTCCATTTTCTCTGCACTGTTCCTTTTGAAAATTACATATACCCTTGTTGCTTTCCATTTTTGGACTTTTAAGGCTTGTTATGTTATACCAATCATGTGGCACATGATAATCTTAACCAGTTGCAATGTTTCTCTGAATTTTGATCATACCAATTGAGGGCTGTCTTTCCTAGGAAAGATTTTGCGATGCTCATGGCTTGAATTGACTTGTTCTGTGACATTTTTTCACTGTTTTGGTAGGCTTATAAAATGATTGTTCATGTTTCTGATATAATGATGTTTGGTTTATCGTCTGTTGGCAGGCAACAGTTTGATATTGCTAACAGGGAGGCAATGGATGAATCTGCTGAGTGGAGGCTTAGGTATGATGAGGAGGTGGATAGGACAAAGAAGTGTTTGCAGGAGCTTAAAGTAGTATGTATTCTTTTATTTGAATTTTTTTCTTTCTTCCTTGCAAAGTAAATTAAATAAAAGAAAGATTTAGTGTGTGTTTGATTTCAATTTTTAAAAACCAAAGTATACAAACAGAGGACCATTTATCAGCTATGTACTGTTCATTTTTAAAGCATTTGTTTTGAAAATGATTTTCAAAATTTTGAATAGATTTTGGATGAGCGATTGTTGAGTAGCACCGAGTTATTTTAATAAACAGTTTTACTAAGAAGTGAGATGAAAATCAAACATGTTATTATTTGGTAAGTATTGTTTCACACCTTAGCCTTCTTAATTTCAGTAGGAAAGAACTCCGTTATGATTTAAGTGCACCAAGATAATCAATAGTTACTTTTCTAACCACTGAAGTAACAAGCATGCTCTTTGTCTTTCCTGCAATGACTATGTAATCATGTTTGTGGCAGTTTCGGGAGCCCTCTGAGAAGGGGCAGGATGCTTCTGATAATAACCATAAACTGGCAATACTGCAAAAGGTATGTTTTCATATAAATATCAATGAACGTTCGATCTATATGTCCTTGTGATAATCTTTCTATTTGGTCCTCCATCCTAGGGAACCGAAACTAAAATATTTGAAGGATATGATCACACTGTGAACTTATAATTGTGCAGAGGTTCAAGGGGAGCCAACTTATATTCATTAATCACTCCCCAAATTTTAAAATTCAAATTTTATTGTCAATGATCTGATTTTGTTCATGTTAAAAGCTTCATCTATCAACTAGGACAATTTCTTATTAACATGAATTTGGATGAAATTATTTTTAGTTATTATTGGGGGTATGCATAATTTTGTGATTTTCATGACATTATTTAAGTCAAGTGTTCTAACTAGGTCTAACCTATCAGGATAATGCAGTCTTGCTTGAAAGGTTGGAAACATTGAAAAGAGAGCTTGAAGAAGAAAGATTGAAGTGCAGTTCACGGTACATGAAGTAATCATGAAAACATTGACGGAAATCTATTTTGTCATTTTGTCCATAGTTGTTTATTATTGAGTACAATGTTTCAAAGATATGTTGCAGCATAAACTAGTATTCAACCCTGGAAAAATCTTGCATGATAATGTACTCACTTTTCACCTTAGACACAGACCATACACGGGATATGGAAGTACCGAGTCACACTAATCATCTCTCCTTTTTCCCTTTTTGAGGACGGTTACATTTTCCTTTCTACCTTTTTATTGTGGGCAAAAATATATATTTTTTTAATCTCTGATGTACCTGATAGTTTTCATTGTTTTACTTTCTTTAAAGAACAAATGTTCTGGAGTATGTATTACGGACCAGTATTTAATTAATCCAGTCTGTCTTCGGTGAATTTATTCACTCTTGATTCACTACTTTGATGCCATATAATAAGATTAAGAGCTGCAGCATTTTAAGTATTTTCAATTTACGTAGTCTATTAAGCAAATGACTTGCATGTTTACCAAAAAAAGAGAAGGGAAAGGAAGTATTGCATTGATCCATAAGTGAGAACTCAAAGGTGAAGTTAAATTGCAGTTATGATTTTTCAATATTTTAAAATATGGTGGAAAATGTGGGTGACGTGACCACAGTTGAAGTTATTAAAATTAGTGTCATTCATGATTTTGTAAGATCAGATCATAATTCTCTCTGATCCAATTGTTAAATGTCAACATGCATGATGCCTCATGTTAATACTGTTACTTCCTTCAGCACAAATATAAAATTTAAAAGGGGTGAACAAAATTGTTCTTTCACCAATGATAGTATGCTACTCATTCACATGGTTTGCTTGCTAGCTTTGAGCACTTGTTACATCAATTGCTAATAATGCTTTATATAAAGAGACTTATGTTTGGTATTAATGTTGATCTTCTCATGATAAATGGGTACTATTACTGTTACTCTCATGTGCTTCCTTGTCAGAATTTTGAGGAACCAGACGCTCCTGTGCACCCCTTCTCGACTCTATTTTCAATGTGCATGACAGAAAGAGAAAGACAATGAAGATATAAGTAAAGGAGGCTGATAAAAACACTCAAATTGACTGTATCTGAGGTTGTAACCATCATTAATTAACAAGTTGAAATTTTCTTGTTCTATAGGAACACTCAAACATGAAGCTTGAATAAAATAACAAAATATTAAAGATGGTACCTTTCGCCTTGTCTTTGGTATTGTAGTGGTATTGTTCATTATCTCCACCAGCTCGTCAAACTGAAATCATAGGGATTATATTCATTTTTATACACTATAAGATAAGACCCATGACAGTAAAAGAAAATGTTCATAGTGAGTTGTACATCAAACCCTTAATGTTTGACAATGGTGTCATACTTTCTTGCACACTGATATAATCTTGTTTCATCATTAATTTCATCAGATACTGTCCCTCCAATTTTGTGCTCTTGATAGGTCATGTTTGTTACAAACAGTTTGTATCATAAGACAATACGTTGTCTTTGTCACTGACCTGTGGTTGATCCCTTGAAAATCAAAGTGTCAACCATAATTTTTTCATCCCCTCAAATCACAACTCTTATCTAGTATCTATATACCTCCACATTTTGATGTTATCTAACAAACAAATCATGGTAATAACTATTTATGATTTACAAACGAATCACTCATGTAACTTCTCAAACTTTAATATACTATAATGTATTTTTTTTTTTTTAAGAAAGTAAAGATAATATTAGAAAAAAAAATAACCGACAATTTTTTTAATTTCATAAACTTCAATCACACTCATTGTTTATAAATTATAATACACAGCATCATCCTATACTTTTTGGATTTAAAATAAGAAAGAGTCTGGAGATGTCACATGATGTCCCTTAAAAACTGGGGTATACATGTATCAGCTTTCAAATTATTATTAGATACATAAGTTGTAAATTGTTAAGAGATGACGAAGAACACAAATTGCTTACAATATATAACAAAACATGGTTTCGTAGCTTCAAAAGTAAAAAAAAAAAAAAAAAACTAAATGAAATTTATCTTTCATAATACTAGTACCTGTTATAAAATATATAATATTTATATTCTATTCACATGTTTTGACAGGATAATACATTATAACGCAGATGTCAATTATTAGTGTCTAAATAAAATCTTTAATTTTATTGCTTTCAGATCTTTTAATATAAAAAAATATTTTTAATCCTTAAAATATTATAAATCTTAATTTTACTTTTAAAAAAAAACTATAATCGTTAAACTTATGTATATTTGGTTTGTTAGATATTATTTTTCCATTTTAAATTAAATTACATTTTAATATTTTAAAAAAAAAAATTTGTTTTCAATTTTTAATGAAATATTAATTATTTATTTAAATTTTTTCATTGAAATAATATCGTCTAATAATATTTATTAATATGTATTTTTTAAAGTTAACAAAATATTATAATAATTTTAATAAATTTGTATTAGTTAGATTATTTAATTTGTGAAAAAAAAACATAAATCATAGATCATAAATTAATTTCAAAGGACAAATATCTTCTTTATCTAATTTCTAATAAGAGCATGAAATAAAAAAAATAAAAAAATGAATAAAAAAATAAATTATTTGGATTAACTAAAAACTAACATAAATTTATATCTTATATTTTATTGTTTTTAGTTATTATGATAAAAAATATTATTTAAAAATATTTTAGAATTAATTATATACTTGTTCTCATCTATTTCTTTTTTTACGTTTAACTTCAAGAAAAAAAGGCGTTTGTTATTTCTGAAGTACGCGTTTTCTAACTAAAGGTGAGGTTGTACGGATATGAACATATTCAAACATATGGAAGAGTTAAAATATCGTAAATTTATTTATTTTTAAATTAAATGATAAAATGTGTTGTTTTAAGAAAACAAATATATACTTCAGTCACTTTATTTATTTTTGAAATTTTCAGTTATAGATTGATGATTCATTATTGTTAAGAATGAATTATTAATTGGTCTTAGAAAATAAAAATAAAAAAGTCTTAGTAATTTATTATATTTTTTAATTATTTTTAAAGTAACATTAGTATTTATATCAAATTCATCAAAAATATTTTATGTAAATTTATCTCACGTCTAATCCATATTTCAATCTTTATCTTAACCAAAACAAAATGTTATGGGGATTACAAAGGTTGAAAAATTGGAGTAAAACATATAACTATTTATCTTCTAAATTACAATTTGTTATCATGTGATGAACACAAGAAAGAAAAATGTGATGAACATAAAAGGTATCATAGTTTTATATCCTGTAACGCATATATGCATGAATAATTGAAATTCAATATTCAAAGCAAGATTTTTTATTGGTGGTGAAAACTTTAATAATCTGATTGGTCAAGGGTTTGATTTTGATATAAACAATGGGTCAAGGTTTTGATTTTAATTAAACTTTATATAATAAATTATAATTTAATTCTTGACAGAAATAAAATTATATATTTTTCTTAAGTTTTAATCATTAGTTTTTTTTTTTTAATTTCAACCGTTTACTTGTATTGATGCCTTATTCAAAGTAATATTTATGAACTATAATCATATGATTTACGATCTTCAGCAAAAAATAAAATTTAAAATTTAAAAAGAAGTGAAGAAAATTGTTCTTTCACATGACTTGTTTGATAGCTTTGAGTACTTGCTGTATTAATTGCTAATAATGCTTTACATAAAAGACTTATATTTGGTGACTAGAATAATTAAGGTTGATCTTCTCATTATATATGGTACTGTTACTCTCATGTCTCATGTGCTTCCTTGTCAGAATCTGTAGGATTAGTTCTCAGTTCATGCAAAAACCTTGTCACAGTCTGCACTATTACTTCATTTCTGTTTAACTGGTTTGAAGAACCAGACGCTTTTCCGCCAGAAGCACCCCCTCTTCGACTCTATTTTCAATGTGCGTGAGCAAGTGAGAAACACCAATGAAGATATAAGTAACATAATTTGGATGCATCAGGCTAATAAAAACACTCAGATTGACTGTATCTGATGTTGTAATCATTAATTAACAAGTTGAAATTTTCTTGTTCTATAAAAACACTCAAACATGACTAAGTTTGAATAAAATAAAGAAATATTAAAGATGATACCTTTCGCCTTGTCTTTGGTATTGTAGTGGTATTGTTCATTATCTCCACCAGCTCGTCAAACTGAAATCATAGGATAATGTTCCTTTATACACTATAAGATAACACCCATGACAGTAAAAGAAAATGTTCATCTATAGAGTGAGTTGCACATCAAACCTTAAGATGACATACCTGTTTGACAATGGTTTCATACTTTCTTGCACACCGATATAACCTTATTTCATCGTTAACTTCATCATCAGGTACTGTCCGTCCAAGTTTGTGGTCTTGCTGGGTCATATTGTTGAGTAATAGAGGAAGTTGTGGTATGCACAACTGGGTAAGAGCAGATATCGTACACTATGATATATTTATAGCAGAAGAAAGAAAGAAAATTAGTTAATTGCTTGAAGAGTCATTCCGAAAAATTGGATATTGGAGTATCTTTGTTTGTTACAAACCGTTTGTCTCATAAGACAACTCGTTATCTTTATCACCGACCTGTCGTTGATCTCGTGAAAACCAAGGTAACGATAACTTTTCATTCACTCAAATCACAACTCTTATCTGGTATGTGTACGTATGTATATACCTCCGTATTTTAAGGTTTGCCAAATTTATGATGTAACAAACAAATCATGATACAACCATTTATTATTTACAAACAGACCAGTCATGTAACTTCTGAAACTTTAAGAATGTATTATCATGTATTTTTTTGTTAAGAAAGTAAAGATAATATTAGAAAAAAAAATTCACCGACCTTTTTAAAATTTGATGAACTCCAAGCTCACTCATTGTTTATAAATTATAAAACACAACATCATCCTGTACTTTTTTGGATTTAAAATAAAAAAGAGTCAACTGGACATGTCCCTTAAAAGCTGGGTATGTATCTATATAGGTATCAGCTTTCAAACTATTATTGGATACACAAATTTGGTAGGAGATGAAGAAGAACACAAATTGCTCACAACATATGTAAGAAAACACAGTTTCTGTAACTTCAAACAAATAAAAATAAAAATATTTTAACTAAATGAAATTTATATTCTGTTAAAGACGATGAAATTTATAATAGTAGTATCTCTTTGAACGCAAATGAACATCGTAATAATTTTTTTAAGATTAAACATCTTTCATGAATTAAAATCGATTTATATATATATATATATATATATATATATATATATATATATATTATCAGTTGGAATTTTATTTAAAGAAAATTTCTATAAATATTAAGATAAAAAGATAGTTGAATTTATTATAATTTTTGTTATTTATAAACACAATTACTCAAAAGATCTAAATTAATATATAATATATATATATATATATATTCACATGGTCAGAATAATCCGTCATAACGCACACTTCATTTATTAGTATCTAAATAAAATTTTCGCTAGTTAATTTTATTGTTTTAATTTAATGATCTTTTAATATAAAAAAATATATTTTTAATCTTTAAAATATTATAATTTTTTAATTTAATTTTTTATTTAAAAATTTATAATAGTTAAACTTATGTATATTTGGTTTGTTAGATTTTTTTTCATTTTAAATTAATTTACATTTTAATATTTAAAAAAATTGATTTTTGTTTTTAATTTTTAATAAAATATTAATTATTTATTTAATTTTTTTGTTAAAATAATATCGTCTAATAATACTTAATAATATGTATTTTTAAAAGTTTAAAAATATTAAAATATTTTTAATAAATTTGTATTAATTAAATTATTTAACTTGTGAAAAAAAAAACAGTCAAACATGAATTAATTTCAAAGAATAAATATCTTCTTTATCTAAATTCTAATAAGAGCATGAAATAAAATAAATAAAAAATATGAATAGAAAATTAAATTATTCGGATTAACTAAAAAATAACATAAATTTAATATTATTTTTAGTTATTATAATAAAAAATATTATTTAAAAAATATTTTAAAATTAATTATAAATTTAATTATATATATATATATATATTTATTTTTTTACGTTTAACACGTTTGTTACTCTCTGAAGACGCGTTTTCTAACGAAAAGGGGTTTTATACGGCTATGAACATATTCCAAAGATAAGAAGGGTTGAAATATCATAAATTTATCATATATTTTGTCAATAACACGTGGATAATGGAATAAATTATTAATAAATTCTATTTAGAAATTAAATGATAAAATGTGTTGGTTTAAGAAAACAAATATATATTTCAGTCACTATATTTATTTTCTAAATTGTCCGTTATAAATTGATGATTTATTGTTGTTAAGAATAAATTATTAATTGGTCTTAAAAAAAAGTCTTAGTAATTTATTATATTCTTACATTTTTTTAATTCATCTTCAAAGTAGTACTAATATTCATATTAAATTTATCAAAAATATTTTATGTAAATTTATCTCACATCTAATTTATATTTCAAAACTTTATTTTAACTAAAACAAAATGTTCTGAGGATTAAAAAATTAGGAGTAAAATATAGAACTCTAAATTACAATTTGTTACGAAAAAATTCATTTAAAAAAATATTTATATCAAACTAAATTGATAATTATTTAATTACAAATTATTAATTTTAAAAGCAACTTATATTTTTATAATATACAAATCATATATTATCCCACGTCTCAGATAAATCTACCTACAGAACACAGGTTCAAACATTAACAGAAAATGAATTGGACAAACCTTATGTTGAATATTCATGTTTGGACTGCACAAACTCTGCAAAAGTGCTTATGAACAACGCAAGACGTTAGTTCCAATTTTATTCTCCCAAATGTTTCAAAATCTGTTAGCACATCCCAAAGTTCATAGAAAAAAACACTTTTAACAAAGACAAAAAACGCGTTTTATTCAGTAACTTTATGCCTTTCGGCCTAACAAACAGGAATTTTAGCATAACAAGGGTTAGATCATGTGATGAACATAAGAAAGAAAGATGTGATGAAGTTTACTGTAACGCATAGATGCATGAATAATTGCAGTTATTTGTTTTTTTAATATTCGAAGGGAAGATCTTTTTTTATTGATGGTGAAAACTTTAATTATCTGATTGGTCAAGGTTTTGATTTTGGTACAAAGGTCAAGGTTTTGATTTTAATTAAACTTTATATAATAAATTATAATTTAATTCTTGACAGAAATAAAATTATATTTTTTTATTAAGTTTTAATTATTAATTTTTTAAAATTTCAACCGCATGTTAGACTAATGACTTATTCAAAGGAATATTTATAAACTATAATCATAAGTTTGATTTTGTTTCTTTTTAAATATCTTTCATTAGATCTAATTTTATTATTTTTAGTTTTCTATTTATTTTATTTTTCATTTTCACAATGGTATATGCATAGTAATTTTTTTTACCTAAGTGTATTTTATTTTTTAGATAATCCTAAATCTCTTCGATCGATTTAAAATTCATAATTATTGAAACATTATGAAAACATTTTAATTTTTTTCTCGAGTCTAAATATATCTAAGATTTTAAGATATCGTTCTTATAACTCATAACCCGTACTCTGACATGTTATATGTGTATTTCATTTTATTGGTGTTTATCTCAACTCAAACATCTCTAAAAATTAAAAGCTTTCGATATCAATTTGTATAATTTATTTATAAAAATTAATGAAAAGAAGGAGTAAGTATAATGTGGAAGATAAAGAGCATAAATCACAGTATATTACAATCTTTTATTTTATGGGTATAAATACATTAAAATTGAAATTAAACAATAGAGTTGTTTAAGATAGGAAGAGGAAAGGAGGAATAATTATTTTGCCACGGAGGATAATAATAATAATAATAATAATAATAATAATAATAATAATAATAATTATTAGTTGATTAGATGGATGTAAACATCATATGCTGCTTTAGAATGAAGAGTTGTTTAAGGAGTTGGAGCTGATAACAGTTTAAAAAGATAAATTTGATGACAATGGAAAATTCATAATAAACGTTTATTCAATTCTCTATTTTATTTATATTGTGTTTGAAGATTGTCAACATGAATAAAACATGTGAGCAGTTTATGTGAGAAGTTTTGTACTAAAAATATTTTAAAATCTAATATAAACTTTGTCATCCAACCAAACAAGAAAGAAAGATAATTAGTATTAGAGTATTGTAGGTGTAAGTACAGTCAAAAGAGTTAAAAATAGATTATAAAAAAACTACTGTTTTTGTTTTGTGACCAAAAGAGCTATTCTTAATAATGAAATAGAGAAGGATTTGAATGACATTGACTTAGAAACAACAAATCATTCAGAGGAGAGATAAAGAGATAACAACAAAAGAAATGGGTGCTTATAAAAGACCCAACTAGCATCTTGGCATGTGTAGCAAAGTTGAAAGTTTTAGCAAGATTAGTGCAAGTGAGTGATACACTTTTCAAAGCTACCATATTTTAGAAAAGAAGGGTAAGAATGAATAATATTTACTTATTCAGAGAAGTCGATGGATAAACTCTCTTAACCTAGCTTGTGTGGTAACAATGGCACATTTTACACATCTTTCTCGTGAAAATATTATTTTTATTTTTATGTTAAAGAAATACAAACTTATGTATCAACATGTGATTTTTAGAAAAATATGATCTTATAGACATTTTTTTCCCACGTTTACTCGATTTTTAGGGTTATACAAGATGAATAAAATGCATTTATCCTATTTAAGAAATAGATTATAATTCATTAATAAAATTTAAAATTTTAATTATTAATTATAGTTTAAATTTAAGATTTTGAATATATATTTTTATATAAAAAATCTATAATATTTTATTTATATATTTTCTATATAGATTAAAAATATAGTAAACTATCAAATATTAATATTATTATGATTTTAATCATCTAAATTAAAATAATAATATAATATTTGTTTTCTTATTTTAAATAATATTAAAAAAAATCTTAATTTAACTAAAAATGTTTTATGTAACTTAGATGAAAGATATTGTGTAATATTTTTTTTATTTAAATACAAAATTAAAAGAAATCATAAGATTAATATGAAAATTGAGCTTAATGAACCATCTAATATTGAATTAGCATTTATATCGGTTTTTGGATAATTTCTACGGATCAAGAATAATAAAATAAAAACAATAAAAAAATTGAAAAAAATAATAATTAAATATAACACAATTTAGATTGATAAGTTGAAAATGGACTGTAAAATTTAAAGATAAAAATCAAAAGTTCTTAAAAAAAAACAAGAGAAAATTACTCTAAAAAAGTTTAAGCTTGAAAATCTCATATCTAATGAGAAAAGGAATATAT